CCAGGAACTGGGGCTACAGAGACTATGCTTTAAATCTAACATAAAAACCCAGACCTGGAACTTGCTGGAGAGAGTGGCACAAGTGGCTGCAAACAAACAGCCATGTACAACTGCAGTAAGTAAAATCGAACTGTAGACCTGTGGGAGACACAACTCAGAAAACTGCCCCAAGGAGAAGAATCTGATAACCAGAAGTACAATGACTAAGAGCAAAGGAAGAGACAAAGGCACAATGAATATTACTGAAGACTCACCTGCAAAGGAGCAAAATCCTTTGCCAACTTCATTTAGCTGAGGAAGACATCGAGAAAATGGAGGATACAGAATTCAAAACACTTGTTCTGATTAACAATGAGGAGCACATAAAGTAGGTGTTCAAGGATTTTGAGGAATGTGCTACATACTGAAAATGAATCAAATGAAAGCTGATATATCAGAAATGAAGAATACAGTAGAGCAAATTAAAAGTACAGGGGAGAATCTCCAAAATACAATGAAGGAGGCAGAAGAAAGAAGCCCATAATTTGAATATATTTCCTGTCACAAAGGGGACACAAACAAAAATCTGGACATAGAGCTGGATCAGGCCAAAAAAAGTATTCAAAGAATTGAAAGATACTATTGAAAGGCCAAATATAAGAGTTAGGAGTCCCAGAAGCTGAAGAAAGAGAAACTGGGTTTACAAATGTATTAAATGAAATAATAAGGGAAAATTTCCCTAATCTAAAGAGAAATTGGAAAACAATATCCAAGAGGGGCACAGAACTCCCAACAGAGTTGACCAAAAGCGATCTGCACCAAGACACATGATTATCAAACTCTCTTCAATCAAAAGTAAGGAAAAGATTCTGAAATGTGCACGTGAGAAAAATCAGCTGACATATAAAGGAATGCCAATTAAACTCACTGGAGATCTCTCACAGGAGACTACAGGCCAGAAGAGAATGGAGCGACATATTGCAGATTCTAAATGCAAAAGATTGTCAGCCTAGGATAATATACCCAGCAAAACTTTCCTTTGTCTTTGAAAATGAAATAAAATTCTTCCACAGTAAAGAAAAGTTAAAAAAAAAATCCGTTTTAAAATCTGCCCTACAAACGATACTTTAAGATGTTTTCTTGACAGAGGAAAGAAGTAGTGTCCACTGAAACCAAAGGCAAATGTGAAGAAAATCTCAGTAAAATAACAACAGAAGCCTAAATGAATGAACAACCTATTGTTAAAAAACACCTATTTGTATTAACCCTGAATGTAAACGGCTTAAAACTCATCAATCAAATGTCATAGATTAGTACACTGGATTAAAAAACAAAACCCATCTCTTTGTTGTTTCATCAACAAACATCAGAAGAAACTGTGTCTCATGGATTTTGATTATTTTTTGGTTAGTTTCATCTCTTCAAAACACTTTCTTCTGATTTAATTATTCAATGACCCATAGATCATGCAGAAGCATCATTTTTTTCAAGAAGGTTCTTGATTTTCTTTATTTCTTCAGTGACATATTAGTCATTCAGTAGCATGCTATTTAACTTAATGGTGTTGCGAACTTCTTTTTATTTTCCTCCTGTTGTTGATTATGATTTGTGGCTTTTCATTTAAGGGGATGCATAGTAACTGTGTGATGGAGACTGTCATATCCAGCTGTGAGGATACAATGCATCTCCACTTCCAGACAAAGATGGACTCCCAATGAGTTTACTGTATCTTGACAATAGGATACTGGACTCTGCCATTGTCCATGCATGCAATCATGGATATATAACTGTGTATCAAGAACTATACTTCCGTAATGATATGGGGGAACTCAGTGAGAGGGGAGGGAATTAGGAAAGGGATAAGGTAATTCCAAGGGCCTATAGAACTGTATTATAAAATAATAATAAAGATAAGTAAAATTAAAAAAAAGAAATTTCTTTGGTTTGCAATAGTGCTACTTATACAAGAAACAGACATCTTAGTACATTAGATTCCAGAACTTGAAGGAATATGAGGCATAGAATCACTAATTTAATCACATCCACACTGCTAAGTACTAATAAGTGATCTATACAAGAATCCCACTTCTGAATGAGGAAATTATGGCTGATTATTATTATTATTTATTATTTTGCCTTTAGTTTTCTCATTTTTTTCCAATGAGAAAAATAACCTTAATTTTGCAAAAAAAAAAAAAAAATTTCAATATAACCTTAGTTTGATATGGGATGCAGCCATGGCAAACAATACCTCACCACTTCCTCACAACACCAGCCCCAAATCAATTTTTCTTAAACCATATTGGCACAGTTTTTACTCTACTGAGAAGTCTTGGTTCCATTTTCCAATGTATAGCCTGGAACAAAACATAAGATGACTCTTTTCAAACCTGAAAAATTTCCCTTCTCCTTCTCTCAAAGGAGGCTACAATAAATGGAGTCCTGGGAACACTAGCATTTTACATTTAATCTTTTAATTTCAAAAACTAATATTCAAATTGGTTATCAATAAGTAAAATTTGCCCTCAAGTACCTGTATTAATAGTAAATTTCAATTTCAAAAAATCTAACACAACTGGACTAGACTTGTCAAGTGGTATTCATATGCTATACTGTTTATTTCAACATAACCTGGACTTTAAACATTTAACATTGTTTAACTTGGTTGCAGTGCTTTATAAATGGCTATATTTTACCATTTACCAAATCTCTTTTATTGAGTTATTCAAACAAACTTCTACCATTTGACGATAGTGCTTCTTTTAGGAGAAAAACAACTACTGTCCTCAGAAAATTGAAAGTGTTTATTTTGGCACTTAAACCTTGTATTGAGCCTTCTGGAAAGTATTTTAAACTGTTGTTTTTAACCCAGACTTTGTGACTGAAACAGGAAAAGGTTCCGTAGCTATGTACCAAAACACATACTTATTTATAGGGTTGATTTTCTTTCTACACCAAAAATACTGGCTTGATGGCAGCAGTTTTCCAAACATAATTTCCTAAAAACCAAACTATAAAGTGTTTATCAATGTATTCAACACACAATTTGTTCACCAGCTTCAGAAACTCCTGAAGACTAAGAAATGCTAAACCACAGTATATACGCTGTCTTTAAATGCCACAAATGGCAACGGTTGTTTCACTTGATTGTTGTACCGTCAGGAATTTCCACAGGAAGAAAATCTACTTGACATTGTACTTCCTCCCTAGGTATGTCAACAAAAATCGTGCTTGTAATTCTGTGACATTTTACCAATATACCTTCTCCAATGGGTATGCTATATCTTCAGACAAGAAAGAGCACAAATTTATAAAAATAAGCCATGTGAACAATTGCAGTATCATCCTAATAATATTCCCTAATGCAATTAAGTTTTTGAAAATCAAAGAATTAGTCATTCTTCTTAACTGCGCTTCAACCAAGTTCTATATCACTAAAGTATAAAAATAGGCTGAGGAAAATATGATCTTGAAGAACCAGAGAAATGATTAGTTCAAGCAGTTTGTCAGAGACCACCACACAGCAGCAATCACCTTGGAATCAATAGGAATGGTATAAAATACTATACATTCTAATACCAATTCTTCACAACTAGTCCTTCCTATCTTTAGTCATAATATATGTTTCCAAAAAAAAAAAAAAGGGAAGAAGGAGGTGGCTTGAAGAAGGGAGGGACGTATGATTATCTTCTTAGATTTGTCCCTATGAAGTACATAAAATCTGTTCTCCTTCCATTGATACATTTAAAAAATGAATAAAGCCAGCATCATCACCATTTTATTCTTGCTGATAATCTTTTTTAAAAAGTCAAAACATCTTCCTGTTGCTGATTTTGCTTTATGGCTTTTCTTTTAAGGGGATGTATAGTAACTGTAATAGAGACTATCATATCCAGTTGTGAAGATGCAATGCAGTATGCATCTCTACATCCAAATCAAACATGGATTCCCAAAGAAACTGTTAAATACATCTTAACAATAGGATTCTGGATGCTCTGCCATTGCCCATACCTAAAATGTAAAGATACACTTACACAACGGATTGATGGACATGTGACTGTTTGTGAAGTACTATACTGCTATAATGATACAGAGATAATAATTATTATTAATAATTGTTATTATTATTATTTTAGAAGAACTAAAAAATAAAAAGTTAAAAAAGCACTAAGTTGCATTATTTTGCCTTATCAAGCATGTTCTGGTAGGAAACACATGGCTTAAAAATTCTGGTGTGCATGAATTGCCTTATATTTAAAAAGATACATGATGTCAACCAAATATACCTTTCTAAAACTCCTTAATTGCCTTTGTTGTTTAAGTGAAGTTTTTAAATACTAAAACCTAGTACCTTCTTGCTATGACTGAATGTTGCTTAGATGCAGGAAAATCATGATTTATTTAAATGAGTAAAGTAAGAATAAAATAAATGCAATTTGTTTCAATGACAATGAAATAGTAGACTCATCCTAATTGAAAATCATATTCTCCCAGATCTGTGGTTATATGAAGATGAGCAACACCTTTTTAATGGAATTTAAATCTTGAGTTATCCTACTCCTATCCCCCACATTGCTCAGAGACCATATTTCACAAAAATTTTTAACTTCATATTATGTACAAACAGTATTTTATAGATTATAATTAGTATGCCATGGCAAAAAGCATAAATACAGTCTTGCTATAATTTTTCTCATTTAAATTTAATGAGAGTAAAGGAAATTTAAGACCAATATGCAAAAAATAAAAACTTATTTATTAGAATCTGAACAAAGTCAACTTTTTAAGATGAATCTTTAAATAGAATAGGGCAAAGGTGAGTACATCTTTCCCTCTCTCATTCTTTTTTCTCCTCAAAAAAGATTGACCTCTCATATCTGTGATATCTACAGAGGAAAAATATATCATTTGTATGAAATAATTGCTGAAATAATAATTTCACTTTAGTGTCATGGTTGATGAAAACATTGCTAAGGGAAACTATTTTTAGGGTTAAAATAGGTAGGGATTACACAACATACCTGAAAAAGAACATGTACATGGCAGCTGTGATGCAGAACAAAAGAACCTACAGAAACAAAAAAAATACATTACTTTCAAAAGAATAATGATAACATTATTTTGTAACTAATAAAAGAAAAAGACAAACAATTTTAAAAATAAGCAAAAAGATACAAAATATTAGTCAAGCTCATATTATGTTCTCTAACTTTTCAAATAATCAGTCAGGTGATAATACACTGTTACCATTACAAATATTTATGCACATGTGTTATATAAAGATAAATATATGTACATAAACACACAAGTTAGGATGGAAGAGTAAGTAAAAAAAATTCAGGAAAGAAACAATTTTTTAGCTTGGCTTATTAGAATGGCTGAAAAAGCAAGTGATTTAGAATGAGGATAATATTTGTTACAATCAAGTCAGTGAATGAATGGGAAAACTTATTACTATTCTATCAAGTACATTTTAGTGTAAAAGACAATGTAGCTACCAATCAATTCTAATTTGCAGGAAATGTTCATTAAAATGTAATCATTCTTCATGGAATACAGAGTAACCAGTTTTAAAGTTTTTTAAAAGCATGCAAAAACCATACAATAAATCCTAATTGAAGAAGCTTTCCTCAAAACCATAATAAATTCAACATGCTACCAGGGAACGTGGAAGGAATCCAGAATCACAGACCTGACTAACAGACTAGCTATGTCAACAAAGCAGATCCCTAGACTACTGTTTCTAAATCCATAAAATGGAAGTTGCATAATGGATTTTTATATTAACAACAACAGTTTGAATTAAGCAGTAAGACTGTCCACAACCTCATATTGGACAATAGGAAAGGAAAAATCAACTTTCAAGTCTGAGCATAAGAACAACAAAAAGGAAAAGGTATAAAACAGTAGTTTGCTATTCCCAACAAATATTTTCTAGACTACTTTCTTAAAAATTTTCTATCTAACTTCACAAGTTTGTTGTCTTTGCCCAAGCTAAGTATCATAAACAAGTAGTATAGCACAAATGAACCAGAAATACATAAATGAGATAACTAAGAGGACAAAGTCAATTGTCAAATATTACATGTATTTATGAGTATCATATCATATTTAAAATCTCTAACCAATACAGTCTGCTCCCTTCTCTCTTCCTTCTTATAGCCTTCCCTCTTTATCATTGATTTTAAAAGTTACCCTATCCCTGATATTCAAGATTCATTTTACTATTTTTACAAGTGTAACTTTAATCATTTAGGGTATTTTTTCATTTTTGAGTAGTCTTTTATAAAGTCCAAGTAACTGTGTCCTTTTTTTCCCTCACCTGCAAGAACACATCCTACTTACTTTGCTTTTAATTTAAACACACACATACACACATGATCAGGAAAGGTCTCTTTTTCTTTAATTTCACTGCCATTGTATCCCCAACAGACAATGCTAGATGTTCATTCCCTGGGGTTTCCTCTATATTAATCAATATCTCTCTTGCAACCCCTACTCAAAAATTTCTCAAGGCTGCACCTAATCCACTGCCTATGGTGCTGGCATTCCATATGGGTATCAGTTCTAGAGCTGGCTGCTCCACTTCTGATCTAGCTCCCCACTGATGATCTGGGAGAGCAGCAGAGGACGGTCCAAGGACTTTGGCCCCTGCACCCATATGCAAGACCTAGTAGAATTTCCTGGCCCCTGGCTTCAGAATGGTTCAATTCTGGACACTGTGACCCTTTGCAGGGAGCATTCTCTCTCCTTTTCTCTCTCTCTTCTATCTCTTTCTCGGACTCCAACTTTCAAGAAAAATAAGTAAATCATTTTTTTAAAATTCTCTAAAACAGTCTCACAAATATTTCCCCTACTTTTCACCAACTCTAAATGTCCAAAGTCTTTTTCCCTCAAAATGTTGCTATGTTCGAGCCTTACACACTATACCAAAACTAAAGATCATTGAAAAGGATCATTAAAGAACAATGGATCAATTAATTCAAGATATATTTATGAAAACTCTATACACCACAGACCATTTCAGACAAGAGTACAGAACATTGACTTCCCCTTGTGGAAATGATCCACTTATCTTCTAAGTTAAGTGAGAAAATATTAAAAACAAACAAAACCAGTATTAGACATGCTGACATAAGAATTTTGGAGGCAAAGAACAATAGATAAGGGGCTGGTGACATAGTGTATTGGTTAAACTTCTGCCTATGATGCTGGCACACCCAGCTTCATAGCTGCTCAGCTCCTGCCACTGTGGCCACTTGGGGAGTGAACCAGCGGATGGAGGAGGATTCAGTCTCTCCTTTTTGTAACTCTGCCTTGCAAATAAAAGTAAAATGAACCTTACAAAGAGGAGGGATAGGGGAACAGATTATTGCTGTATGCAAAGAGGTCAAGGAAATAGAAACATGAGCAATGGGACTGAACAGATGAGGGGATAACCCAGGGAACCATATCCACAAAGCCACTGCAAGGATTCTGGTTTTAGTCAAGAAAGATAGACAGAATGCAAAACGTGTTTAGCATTGTGTTACTGAAGGATGCTAAGGAAAGGACTTCACTTCTAGCTAAGTAAATTTTTTAAAGTTTTGAAAATTAACTGTAATGGCTTATTTATCATAGGGGTTTAGCAAAGTGCTTTTTTTCTTCTTATGTATCTATTTTTTATTTTATTTTTTTCACCGCAAAGTGCTTTTATAAGTAAATGTAAATATGAAGTTAAATAATGAAGGATATTTTCTCCATATTTGAAATTAAATAAGTTTAAAGCTAAAATTTAGGAACCTCAAAATAATCATAAATATATGTCATACATATATGATTATATATATATGTATTATATATATAAACTTGGATCCTGAGAACCTAAATGATAATTTACACCCTACAGCCCAATACTGTATTTTGTATTCCACAATACAATACTGCAGCTGCTGGTCACTTGGAGCTACTTAAATGCTTTAGGAATTCTAGTGAGATACAGTTAATTTAAACTGCCTGTAATTAAGATTAAAAATTGATGACTTTTGACATAGAGGTCAAAAAAATTCAAAAAATCATTACCAGAATCAAGATAATGCACATATTCACCACATAAAACAGTCATTTATAGGATCCTCTCATTAATGGTTTGAGAATGTTTCCAACTTTCTTTTGTTTAATATTAGTTTTACTTTTAACTGAAAAGGGCTTTTAGTTGAGGTTATTTGTGGGCAACATGTAAATTATTGCTTTTTATAAGCAAATCTGAAAATTTGTGGCTCTTGATTGCAGATTGTTTCTATAATTGATATGTTTAGATTTAAATCTATCACCTTTCTATTTTCTTTGCTTATTTTTTCCTCCTTCCTGCCTTTTTAGGTTGAATTGAACAGTTGTTGTTGCTTTTTTTTTTTCTAATAATTCCAGTTTCTGTCTTGGTTTCAGGGCTATAATACACATCTTTAAATTATTAAACTATACATTCAAATTATATCATAACACTTAATACAAGTGTAAAAATCTTACAGAAGTGTAAGTCTCCTCCAGACATTTTTGCTATTGTTGTTATCTATTACATACACTCACACACACAAAAATAAGGTCACCACTATACATCAATCATTTTTTTAAAAGATGTATGCCTGAAAAACATGCTTTGTTTTAAAGAGACCTTGGCTTAATGAATTTATTTCAGTGTCTCAAAATACAATTGTAATCTTTTCACAAAGTGATTATGATGCACTTGGGGTCACTGTCATTTTTTTTCTTCTACTAGAGTTTCATTGAGTGTCGTGGATCTGTAGGTTTTGATTTCCACTAAAGTTAAAAAAATTTGTCCTTCATTTCATCAAATATTTCTTCTTAACAGGAACAGACAGTATTCCCACTCCAGACTAAACGCCAAGTGCTTAGTGAAGAATTACTAATCTCTCAAGCCACTCTTTCCTTGGTGTGTAGACATTGCCTCACACAGACCGCCTAATCCCTCATCAGCTGATAATTTTTCTCTGTTCTGTGAACTTCATCCAGCATGATCTGCCATACTTTCAATTTATTTCAATTCAGAAAATTCTTTGTCTTTTCTCTAAATGATTGCCTTTTCACCCATGCCTGGAAATTTTAGCAAGGTAGTAAAGTACAGCATGGTGAGGATCATTTCACTTGATTCCTATACCCCAGGAATCCCTGTACTACAGTGCTTATAATCCGGGATCTTAAAAACCATTGTTTAAAAACAAAAGGGAAATCCCAGAACCTACGCAACTGTATCATAAAATTAAGAAGAAAATAGAAGGAAAAAAATAAATAAAAATAAAAAATTTGAGAGATGTCACACAACTTAGAACTTACAAGGTCATCTAATACTTTTTGGTTCTAAATTTAAAAACACTTGAGAAGTGGGCATTTCATACAGTGGGTGACATAATGACATTGTTGCATCTCGTGTCAGAATGCTGGGATCCAGGATGTGCTGTGCTTGCATTTGCAGTTTCTTGATAATATGCACCCAGGGAGGTGTCAGGAAGTGGTCAAGCACTTAGCTCCTTTCAGATTGGCTTAGAGCAGACTGATGCAGCCATTGTGGGATGAACTGAAGGTAAAAATTCTCCCTCTTTCTCTTTCTCTCTCTCTCTCTCTGTCTACCTCTCTCTGCTTTTTAAGTACATAAAAATAATCTTAATAAAATAAAATAATTGAAATGCAGAGTTACAGAAGTCGAGGGACAGACAGAAACAGATCTTACATATACTGGTTTACTCCAAAATGGTTGCAACAGCCAAGATTAGGCCAGCTCAAAGCCAGAATCCAGGAGTTTCTTCTCAGTCTCCAATATGGGTGCAGAGGCTCAACTGCTGGGACCTTCTGTTGTCCTCTCAAGTGCATTAGTAGTGCATCAGCTAGATCAGATGTGGAGCAACCAGAACTCAAACCACATCTATGAGATACCAGCATTGCAGCTGACACCAAAAATATGAGTGGTAACATAAAAGATATCAGGTAAAGGGAATTTAATAATATAGCAAACCAAAGAACAAGAGGGCACTGACAGTATAACAAAGAGGAAAGTTCATCCAGCTGATACTGTTC